CTGAGGGCTTTGGGGTTTGTATGCGTTTTTGGGTTTAGGGTTTGAGGATAAAACGTTTGAGTTCAGGGTAAAGCTGTTCACTGTGCGGGGTCAGAGTGTAGGGGGGCCATGGCCCCATCGGTTTCGCTGCGGGCGTTTAGCGTTTTCTCAAGGCTGTAAGAGTCTTTTAAGGGTTCTGAGGGCTATATAAGGGTTTTGGCCCTGTGGTGGCTCAGGGCTTGATATTCAGTCTAAAGTTTAGGGTTTCGGAGTTTAGGGATTTAGGGCTTAGGATTTTGGGGTTCTGGATTTTAGGGTTTAGGGTTTGGGCTAATTTAGGTTTTGGGGTTTAGGGCTCATCATCTCAAGTCCAGGCATTCATTAGTCAAGCTCGCTGCTCTGGTAACGAATAATATCTACGCACCCACCCTTTGGACCACCCTTTGGACCATCCCATAACATGAGGAACCTATGTTTGTTTAACGAAGCCCAACCACAGGACCTGCAGCTAAACCCTACATCCCGGAACCCTGAAACCTCTCCTGGGGGCTTGAGCCCTAAATCTGGGCCCTGAAGCCTAAACTCTGGACCCCAAAGTTTCGCGTGGGCAATGACAACTTGCCAATGCCCACGAAAGACATCAGGGTTTAACTTGTAGTTTCGGCCCACCTTGATTGATTTGGGACAACTTCCGGAGGCTCCCAACGATGGGCACATGATACAAGTCTTGTAAAGTTGGTACAGTTCTCACTCAGTGTATTGAGGGTACTCGAGCCTGAAATTGTCTTTGACGTGTTTCAGCACCTCATGTCTCTCCATGCTAAGCCCTCATCCCAAAGCCTCCAAGCCCCCAAGACCGTGAGCTTCTCCCCCAAACCCTAACACCCTAAACTCCCTAAACCCTCAACTCCACAAAACTTTAAACTGCATGCTCGCCAGAGGACGGCATCCGGCTCCGGATTGGCTGCTGCAGCCTGCAGGTTTGCGATAAGGCATACGGCCGAACAAGGCCGTTTTCATGCAGGGGTTAATGCGCAAGACCAAGTATGCGGTTTGAGACATCTGGTCTATGAGTTGGAGTGTGGGGTTTAGGGTCTTTGGATTAGGGTGTAAAACCCTTCTTTGCCGCTGAAGCCTGGAGTCTAGGGTTGCGGAGCTTGTTGTTTTGGTTCGGAGTTTTGAGGGTTTGGGTTTGGGTGTTGCTCTTGGGTCGGAATCAAAGTTGCCAAAAAATCAAGCCTCATATCTAAGTCTGCAAGTTAGACCCCAAAAAGCTTCGCCAGCACTCCCCGCCCGCCAACTAGCCTGCTCTCTCTGTCGGGGTGCTGCTGCCGTTGCTGTTGGCAGGGTGAGCTTCGGGTCTTGGGCTCGAAGGTGCGTTATGGGGTGGCCTTTTCCAAGAGTGACCAGAGTTTCGAGAACTGACCAACCCTGAGTCCTAACCCTTAAACCTTGGCGCACGGAGTATGCAACCCGGGAAGCCTCAACAAAGACCATGAATGAGCCTATGGAGCTCCGCTTCTGCCCATACAGACCATAACCCTAACCCTACCCCAGTACCCTACCCCCCCCCCCCCCCCCCCCCCTGCCCCCCCCCGAATTAGACTCGAGAAAGCGCTGTGATGTTTTTCAAGGAATCGTCCCACCCCCCCCCCATTTCCAAGTACTTTAAAAATCTGAGGGGTCAGGCCAGTCATCCTGCCAAAGCAGAGACAAAACTCAAGCCTAGCTGCGCCAGCTTTCGCGACAATCCCTAAAAGCATTCTCTATCTACCATGACTGATTCTTCACTGGAAGGTGCGAATTTGATGATTTCACGCAGTTGTAAAAAGATGAAGTGAATGCACGAAATGCGCGAAAGCCGTTAGATTAAGGGCGCAAAGAATCCGAAACAACATTAAACTTCATGGTATGCAGCAAGCCCTGAAGACCCCGCATCCCAAAGCAAAATAGCCTGAAAGCTAGAAGGCCTATAACCATGTATCAAAATCCTTTGAAATTTTGTTATTCAGATTTTGGAACGACCCCACTATGCAACTCAAACCGTAAACACTAAACCATGACAACTTAAACTCTAAGCCTCCTCGATTTGCGGCATCCGCAACTCCTGGCAAAAGGCTCCAGTACACACCCCCACACTGTCCTTATGATACCTGTCGGGCTTCTCAATAGTCGTGTAGGGCTTAGGGTGAGTTTCGGGCTTTGGGGTTGTCCTTCGGAATCTTGTCTGGTTGTCGTTGGGTTTGGGTTCTTGCTTGGGGACCCAAGTCCCGGGATTGTATGGTTTGTAGCAGCTAAACCCTAAAACCCTAAAACCCTAACAACCCTAACAACCCTAACAACCCTAACAACCCTTAAAACCCTAAAACCCTCAAACCCTCAAACCCTAAAACCCTAACGCCAGGATCTGGTCAGTGACCAGATCCGGGCCTCCAGCTTGTGTTTGGGATGTGTTACGCGGCCCTTCAAAACAGTGACCGAGTTCGGAGAACTCACCACGCAGGTGTTCTAGACTAGGACCCTGAATCCCAAACCCTATCAACTTATAATCCTTAGAGCATTGAGTCTACAACCCGAAAAGCTTCACCTCTAGAGAAGCCTTTGGAACCCTTCTGGCACCTAATGAAAACCCAAGACGCTAAACCCAAAACGAAACTACCCTAAGGCTCGTTGGGGCCCTGCTTAGCGCGACCCGGGCCCTGCTACGCACGACCTGGGCCCCGGGCTGTTTACAGGGAGGGCCCGGATTTAGAGGGCCAGGGCCCGTGAGGGGCCGTCGGGAAAGGGTTGGGACAAGGCTGTTGTACATGCAGAGTTGCAGTCCTCCGTTTTTGTCTTTGGCCTGGTGGCTTTGGGGGAGGGGGGGGGGGGGGCGGGACGGTCCCATAAATCCCCAAACCCATGGCAAATGAACCCTGTTTCATGTTTTTTTTTGTGGTCATCGCATCGCCAACTTGCAATCATGAAAGCTGCTCCGGGGGTTTTTCATATAGCAGACTCATGCATGCAGTGCAGATGCACTTCCTAGCTTTCATGAGTTGTGCAGCCTGTTCTCATGCAGGCAACATGCCATATAGATCAGTGCAACTTCGGATACTTTGGGTTTGCTTTGATGGGCAGCTGCACTGTTCCAGTGCCACAGCCATGCCTCGCAGGGCAGGTCGACTGGCAGGACTGATGCTATGCAGCTGCATGCACCTATAGCGAATTCAAAGTCGCACATGCTGTTTAGCGGGTGTAACAGACTTCTTGCGTGTGCGAACTGATTGGCTCGCAGTTCCATACCCAACCCTAGGCCAAAAACCCTAAACCCATGAATAAGTAATCCAACAAGGCAGTTCCTGTTTGCTATCGCTTATTGCCTCGCCTTTTTGCTTGCATGCCATGGGTTTACCGCCAAATGTCCGTGAGCTGATGCGTATCGAAGCTGGGTTTTGGAAGCTGTTTATGCTGCCATTGCATGCAGATTGGATGCAGGTGCACGTGATCATGCATGCATCTGCGTGATATGCGGATCGATCGAGGTATCATTAAAACACATGTGCCCCAGACAGCCTTCCTCGACTGTGTCAGCGCTTCGCGTCCGTTCAACACGCTGTTTAGCGACATCAAAGATGTGCAAAACGTTGTCTTGGAAGACCTTGAGCTCTTCCTCCCCTTGGTCTTGGCTTTGTACGCCCATTCTCCAATTGGCAGTCTGGCTGTATTGCAGGGTCTATACTTGCATGCATAGCTGTGTGAATGCTTCGCTCCGTTCTCTAAGGTGAATTTTCAAGTGTAGACTTCCAGAAAGTTTTCCATGAGATGGACCAAGATGTGGATTTCAGATTCAGCAAAGGGAAAACACAACGAGAAAAGTTCCGTTGGGCAACAGACGTTCTCTAGCTGCACTTTGACTATTCGTGTGGGGTTGTGCGCCTGGCGTTGCCTGCGTGCAGAATTATAAAGTTAACATTAAGGAGGCCTATGCAATCATGGCTCTTCTCTCGTACGCTCGTCGCTATTGGAGAAAATCTGTTCTAAGAGGGTCCACAACCCCTGTGCCCTAGCTAGAATAGTCTGCGCGTGCTTTCATTTGTGCATGTGTTTGGCCATCAAGGTTGCCCGGGATTTGCAGGCAGTCTGTCGGCCAAATCCTGCAAAGCAGCGTCCGACATGCAGGAAGCAAGGGAACAGAAAGCAAGTGCACGAGGTCTCCTCTGACAGTGAAGTGGAAGTAGTGGCCGCGCACAAGTTTGTTCGACCCGCCATGGCGTATTTGCCTCCAGAGATGATGATGATGAAAACAGGTGCATGTGTACTTTCCTTGCATGCCGTGCGTATGCATAAAGGGGACAGGACATGCCATGCCAAGCTTTCGTGGCACAGGTCATGGTGCAGATGTGGAATGTAGTCCTGCAGACGTTGCAGGCAGCACACAATGAATTGCATGTATACACATGAGCACGAGGGTGCCACATGTTTTTGTTTTGCGCAGGCTCGGCGGATACATATGTCTCCGAATCATGCGTAGCGCCTCCAGGCTTCGTGGTTATGCATGATCTTTGCATGCATGTGTAGGCACAAAAGAGCCTGCGTGGCTCTGCATGCTTTGGTGCTAGGCCCGTGGATTATTGCAGATGATCATGAGATGGACTCGGCAGTGCAAATGGAAGATGCTGGTGTTTACAACTGGCAGACATCGTCACTGCCATCACTAGCTGTGAAGGGCCGTCATGCTCGGCCAGCCCCTGAAGCCAACATGTCAGGCTGCATGGGTCTGTTAATCCTAGCATGCTGTGTTAATTTGTGATCTGCAGTGAAGCCGGCTGCAATGCAGGTGCTGTGGCCCCGGACACAAAGCTGATGATGGAAGAAATAATCGATGTGGCCGCAGATGAACCTGCTCGACTTGAGTCTTTGCAGAAAGGCCTTGGGGGCGAGGTGCATTTTTTGTGATGTCATGCATGACTACCCTACGCATGACGCATGCATAGGCTCTGGCCCTGCAGTGGACCCGCCCGAGACTTTGCGTGCTTCGGATGCATGGCGGATGCTTTGTGCATGCCTGTGACACGTGCTTTTCGTCGGGCCACGCAGCACGCGCGCAAGGCCACACGCTTACGCCGGAGTCCTTGGCTCGTGAAGAAACGGATGTCATGAAGGTGGGGTCGGGCCCGGGTTTTGTTTCATGCATGCATGCACATCCTTGCGTACTCACGCAGGTTGACCATGGTCAAGAAGCCTGGGATGTAATGATGTGGGCTCGCCGCGAACCACTTTATGGCCTCTACAAGCGTGTGATGCAAGCAGAGGGCTTGGAATCCTGGATTATGCATGTATGAAGGGCCCGGGAATGTGAATTTGCTGATGCAATCTCTTGTTATGTAAGGAGCCTTTTACCTATATAGATCGTGTGAACGAAGACCGTGCCCACTTTGAACAGTGGCTGGAATGGCATGCGAAGACTATGGAGGAAGTTCGCCGTGCTACTCAGCACCCCTGCTTCCCAACCTTTGCTGATCTGCACGGCGTTACTGCCGAGACCTTTGTACATGCAGAATGCATGTTCAGTCATGGAAGTGGCTTGAGTGCCTGGCATCTGTGGCTCTTCGAGAAGGACCGATATCGATGTTTAATGATCGAAAAAGTGCAATGGTGTGCATGCATGCATATGAGGCATGTAGCGTCTTTGAGGAGCAGCGGGCGCGGGAAATGCCTCGATTGGTCGTTCTTACGGATGATTCGGATGATGATGGTGAAAGCTCTTCCGACGATGAGGCTTAATTAACCTATGCTTGCTATAGCTGTACACATGTGGTGAATAGCTCCTGTCAGGAAGTTGTAATGTGCCACCCTGTGCTGGTGCCCGACAATGAGAAGGCCCCTATAAAACCCTAAACCCTAAACCCTCAACCTTGAACCCTAAACCCTAAGCATTTCTGCCCGCGAAAAGTCACGATAAGCCCCCAACTGTGGCTGTGTGTCTAGGCTGGGGCTTCAGAAGCTTCGCTGCCCTTTGGTGATTCCATTGGGCGTGTCTGCTTGGAAGAGGCCTTTTCGAAAGGGAGGGGAAAAGGAGAGTGGGGAGAAAGGGAAAGGGGCAGGGAAGAGGGGAGAGGGGAGAGGGGAAAGGGGAAAAGGGGAAAGGGAAGAGAGAGAGAGGGAGAGCGAGAGAGAGAGAGAGAGAGAGAGAGAGAGAGAGAGAAGAAGGAGAGAAGAGGGAGAAGAGAGAATAAAAAAGAGGAAGACATGAAAGAGAGAGAGAGAGAGAGAGAGGGAGAGAGAGAGAGAAGAGGGACAGCGAGAGAGAGAGAGAGAGAGAGACAGAGAGAGAAAGAGACAGAGAAAGAGAGGGAGAGAAGAGAGGAAGGAGGAAGGAAGAAGAGAGGGATGGAAGAAGGAGAAACGGAGAGAGGGAAGGAAGCAGCATATATATATGTGTGTGTTTTTATTTAATATCTATATATGTGTTTTTTATTTATAACCCTAAAAACCCTATACCCTAAACCCTAAACCCTAAACCCTAAACCCTAAACCCAAAAATAAATGAGTGCGAGTGATGCGTGCAGGAGATCCCACCGGTTACTCCTGAACGTGTGGCGCGTGCTGGTCATGACCCCTCGTACGTGCAGGCGTGCAGAGCATGTCATGCGCGACCCATAAAACCCTCAGAATCGCGCGCGTGCATGCAGGTTATTGATCCCCTTACTCCGGTGCCCTCTCCAGCTCCTGGGCAGGATTGAGTTTGGGCGTGGGGCTGTCTATGCTTTAAATCCTGTATGCTCATTCGTGCACTAATTATACCGCGGGTCATTCAAGCCGACAAATCAGGAGCCGCGATCTTCAGAGCCTGCCTGGAGCGGCGGCACTGACGCTGAGGAGGCAATATGTGCGAGACACTGCGCGAGCAGCGTGTACTGTGCGTGCGTGCCTGCGTGCGCGCACTGTGAGCATGTCCACACTCCGCAGGCTGAGATCGCGATTACTCCCCCGCCCCATCCTGCTTCGAATGATGATGCCAAGGTCTGAAAGGGAAGGGGTCTATATATACGCATGCATGTGCATGGTGTGTGCGTGAAGGAGACGCCTACTCCGGTTGATATGCCGGTGAGCAAGTATCCTTTGACTCCGCCGCCTTTGGCAATCATGGACATGGTTTGCAAAGAAGTGGAGGCAGCAGAGCCCCCTAGGTACGAGGACCAGCTCAAGCGGAGGGGCAAAAGGGCTAAAGCTTCGGAGCCTGCTAATGCTGCTGCCGAGCCGGCAGCTGAGGGCTCGGACGGTGATCTGATAGAGCAGATAGAGCGAGAACTTGAACAACAGCTCATGGGTGACAACAGTGAAGATGATGATGCCCCAAAGCCCAAAAAAGCTCCCAAAAGCAAGCGAGCTCAGGCCAAGGGTGCACCCAAAGTCAAGGCTGCCCCCAAAGGCAGGGGCAAGGCGAAAGCAAAGGCCAAGCCGAGAAAAGATGATGGTTGTGAGGATCCCGAGGGTGCAGAGAACAAGGCCTCTGCAGAGCAGCCTGATGTCACCATGAACAGAGCCAGCAAGCGAGCCCTTGACAAAATGGCTAGGAATGATGGTGAGGATGATGTTGATATCGAGGGCAAGGATGCAGCGCTTGTGCCAGCGCACGATGACAGCTCTGATGAGATGCTGCCCCCGCCGAAGAAAGCCAGGCGTGAAGTCTTGGAGAGCGGTGAGGCTCGTGCCAAAGCCAAGCCAGAACGCAAACCGAAGAAAACCAAAGCCTTGGAGGGCAAGGAGCCCAAGAAGCCCAAGGCCAAGAAAGCCGAGCAGAGCGATGCTGAGGAGGCGTTGCCCGAGTATCCTACTGATCCTTTCGAGCCTCCCCTGCACATCTCCTCCAACCATGTCTACAGCTCGGCCTATCGCCTGAGCCTGCAGCAAACTGGGAATGTAGCTGCAGCCCAGGCCAAAGGCAGGGAGGCATCAGCCCAGCATAGGCATTATGGCGTTGTTGCTCGCAATCTTGTTGGATGTTTCCGTCCCCCACGAAAGCCGAAAGCCCCGAAAGTGCCGGCGCCGTAGGCGTGGCATTGTTTTGCAGCATGCAAGCACCTACGTGCGGTATGCGTCCTGCAGCTCACGCGCTGCAGGCAGTTCAGCGTAGAATACTACGCCCGCAATTATGCTCAAATTAACGCATGTGTGGTTGTTTGTCAGCAGCGCGAGTAGTGGATGTTCATGCGGCCCTGTGAAAACGCAGCTCTTTTCATGATTGTGCACAACTCGTGCTGGCTGTCATTCCTTACACATGTATAGCTGGGTTCAGGCACGCCAGATTGCCGTGACAGAGCTGACCGGGGAAAGAGTGGTGTCACGCGTGTGCGACAGGGCATGACCGATGCCCTGCATGCTATAAGTGCTTGTCGCGATCCTGCGCGCGTGATTTACATGAGATCAAGTCGTAGCGGCGCAGTGTGTGCACATATACCATGGCATCGGCACCGTGCAGGCATGCAGAGGGGTATGCTCTGCATGGCAGTTCCGCAGGCCCTTGCATTACATGCGTAGATTTTCTATGCTTTTTGCGGAGGCCTCGGCAAAACCATGTGGATGATGATGATGTGGAAATGATTCCTCGACCACTGTTCCATCCCGGCCCACATCACCCAGGATATATCCCCGTGAGGTTTTGGTTGATTGTGGACACGCTGCTTCGATTTTATCGTGGCTCTATCGTTCCTGATCTTCGCAACGTGGATGCCTTTGCTGGAAAAGCTGCTATATCGAAAGCGTTTCTTCGCCAAAACATGCCCTCGGTAGCTTTGGACCTGCAACTGGATGAACGTGATGTGCCTTGCATGCGTGGACTTCTGAAAGCATCTATATACCCATATGTAGATCATAAGATCGATCAGTCGTATTTGTGTTTTCGCGTGCGTCATGCGCTGAGGATATTCTTACGGCACGTGGCTTTCTCCGCCACGTTATGGCTATACTTCGTCTTCGGCCTGGCTCTTTGCTGTCCATGGGGCCAGTGTGCTCCTCCTTTGTTACCATCAATCGCAACTTGGTTGCTCAAGGACTGGTTTAGGGCACCCGTTTCCTGAGCCGATTCTTCAGCCCATGACCCTAAACCCGAAACCCCTAAACCCTAAGCCCGGCCGATACCATCAATCGCAACATTGGTTGCGCAAGAGCTTAGGGTTTATAGTGAAATTATTTTAGGGTTTCGGGTTTAGGGTTTAGGGTTTGGGGGTTTAGGGTTTAGGGTTTAGGGTTTTAGGGTTTAGGGTTTAGTTTACGGTTCATGAACCGATTTTATTGAGCCCGAAACCCTAAACCCTAGACCCTCTGACCCTAAGCCCCTAAACACCATCAGTCGCAACTTGGTTGTGCCAGGGATTAGGGTTTAGTGTTTTCTAAAGGGTTCCTCTTCGTGCACCGCGATTTGTTGAACACGAAACCCTATACTATAAACCCTAGCCCCTCCTAAACCTCTTTTGCATCTGGCCTGCTGTGACTCTACACTGACTACTCAACGCCCCTCCTAACCCTAACCCGAAGTCCTAAAACCATCAATCGCAACTTGGTTGTGCAAGGCTCTAGGGTTCAGTGTTTTATAGTTTAGGGTACCCCATAATTGTTTATTATAAGCCCGAAACCCTAAACCCCAAGCCGTCGGACCCTACACCCCTGAACCCTAAAAGCCCGGTCAAGATCATTGGCTCCACAGTTTATGGTCGTGTGGGCAAACCACCCTTCGGCATCATCTTTCCCCAAACACTCGAGGCCTTTTTGGTCGGGGGGGGGAGGGGGGGCAGAACTTCAGTGGGGCTGAGGGCTTTAGGGTTTATAGGAGTTTCACAGTGCGTCGTGAAGTACACCTTTCTGGGTGGCTGGGATTTAGGACTTCAAGGCTTGGGACTGAGGACACCTTTTTGTTTTTGTGGGCCGGGGGGGGCTGCTTAGAGGTTCATGCACCAGTATAGACATTTGTTTTGAAAAGCATGTCGGATCTCCTATGAGGACACTTGTAAGTGGTTAAACATGGGATATATATAGTATATAATAACTGCACGATTATAATTATACCATGAACCTCCAATTGTAAGGTTTAGGGCTTAAGGGGGGCGAGGGTGGACTTGCATGCTCAACCCTCACATATGTGCATGTTCTGCACGTGTAAGGCACGCGCGCTGTGCGAGCACTATACTCCCATGGGCACGCTATAGTGGTTTAGCCCTTGATACCCTGGAGTCGTATTTGACGCTGCTGACAACTCCATGCAGGCGCTTGCGCTGTGTACGTTGCTGCATTTCTGCTACGATTGCGATAATTCCTAGGGAAGCCTTGCCATGCTGTGGCGACA